ATGTTGGAATAGAAATTTAATGTCTCCAACAAAGTTGTCACATAAAATATATCAACTGCAGAGATGCCATGATTTTTATAACAATGTTTTAAATAGGAGCATGTCTGATTCACCAAATGTAGATGTCACCCTCACACTGAATGAGTCTGGGAATAGTGTATTGAAATTGAGGAGGAATATAATTCTGGGTATAATAAGTCCTTTTGTATTGGCAAGTTTTTGTCAACTTGATATCAGCTAGACAAACACAAGGAAAGGGAATGAGAATGTAGAAAATGCCTCCATGAGATTGAGTTGTAGCAAAGACTGTAATACATTTACTTGCTCAGAATTGATGGTGGAGGGCCAAACCACACTGGGTGATGCATCCCTTGACCAGGTGGTCCTGGTTGCTATAAGAAAAGGGGCTCAGTAAGCTGTTAAGAATAAGCCAGCAAGGAGCTTTCTTCCAAAGCTTCTTCATCACATCCTACGTCCATTTCCCTGCCCTGAGTTCCTACCCTGATTCCTTGAATTGTGGACTACAGGCTCCCAACTGAAATCAACTCTTTCCTTGACAAGTTGGTTTTCATCAACATGTTTTAGCACAGCTTATATGATCAGTCATCACTATGCAACCTAAGAGATAGTGTGGCGAGTGACCAGCCTCCTGTTAGAACAGTTAAAAGAAAGGAGAGAAGCATATATCCAATATTGTTTGTTGATTCATTTTGGGGTTTTCTTACTTTTCAATTTGCTTTCATATGAGAACAAAATTATGTAAGGAAGGTTGTAGTTTTCATATATCACCTGAAAAAGAATAGTGAATTATCCAAATTTCAGCTAAGAGAGAAGATCCCAGCTGTTCCAATTTCACCTAAAAGGAAAGAGTTCAATGTTGAAACTTCACCTAACTAAAAATTAAAATTGCTCAATGTTCAACTTGCATCTGGAGAGCAAAATTGTCTAGTTTCATAAAATAATTTCATGCACATTTGGAATTTCTCCCTCTAAGATCTGCAATGTCCTAGCAGCAGAGATGTTACTGTTTATCTCAAAAACCTCCACAGCGTGTCCCATGGGGTTACATTAATTTAGGATCCTAAGGGTTCCAGAGTATGTATATATGAAGTCCTAGCATATACATACTTTATTATTTTCTTTTATTTTTAATGAAATTGGTGTCCATAAAAAAGAAAGCTATCCTGAAAGGCAAAGAGGATGGACATCAAAAGAAGAAGAAAGCAGGAAACAACCTAGGAACCGGCCACAGAGGGCCTCTGAAAGGCTCTGTCCTGTAGACTATCAAAGCAGACACTGAGACTTATGGCCAACTGTTGGGCAGAGTGTATGGAATCTTATGTAAGAAGTGGGAAATAGTAAGATCTGGAGAGGACAGGAACCCCACAAGGAGAGCAACAGAACCAGAAAATTTGAACACAGGGGTCTTCCCAGAGACTCATACTCCAACCAAGTACCATGCATGGAGATAACCTAGAACCTCTGCACAGATGTAGCCCATGGCAGTTCAGTGTCCAAGTGGGTTCCATAGTAATGGGAACAGAGACTGCTTATGACATGAACTGATTGGCCTGCTCTTTGATCACCTCTTTCTGAGGGGGGAGCAGCATTACCAGGCCACAGAAGATGACAATGCAGCCACTCCCGATGTGATCTAATAGACTAAGATCAGAAGGGAGGAGAGGAGGATCTCCCTTATCAGTGGACTTGGGGAGGGGCATGTATGAAGAAGGGAGAGGGAGGGTGGGATCAAGAGGGGAGGAGGGTGGGGCTTATGGGGGGATACAAAGTGAATAAAGTGTAATTAATAAAAATAAATAAATTTAAAAAATTAAAAATAAAAAAAGAAAGCAATGCATGATCCTCCATTCTATGAATTTCTACTGGGCACCTCAGTTTCAAAACATGTTTCCCTTTTCACTCTGCTTTGTCATTTGCAGAAAGGGATTCCAAAATCCATTTGGTTTAACCAGCCCTCTGCACACAGAGGAACCTAATATGGAGTGGAAAAAATGGGGCAACTATTTGAATGAAGTTCTTTTCAATGATGTTTTATCACAACTCTCACCTCAGTGGCTTTTGTATAAAATTATTCATTTTATACAAAATAATTTTATAAAATTATTGTTTCAGTATAAAATTATTCATTATACAGACTGAGCTGTTCTCTAAGCATCTGTACCTAAAGCCTGTGAGATGCAGCACTGCTCTCAAACAACCTACCTAACACTGGATCACAGGCCTTGGGCCCTCTAGAAAATTCCAGAGGATCTATCACCAATTTTGTTAGACCCTTGCTAAATGGACTTCTAGGCTCTTACATTCTACATACATGAGACAAACTCTAAATCTCTAGTTGACTATCCCCTCATTCTTCCACTTGATCTCTCTTCCCAGTGGGCAGAGCTAGTCAATCTACTTAGCCACGCTTAGTTATGTCAGTGATGTGTTTTCTCATTCTGAAAGTGAACTGAATGATACTCATGGCCTATTATGGACACAGTTTATAACTATGATAATGTCAGAATTTTATCATATCCTTTCAAATTCATGAAGAAATTATTTAAGTTTAAGGTAATGTATGACTTTCTCAAAAGATTTCACTTACCAAAGCTAAATCTAGAACAGGTAAACAGTTTAAATATTCCTATCAACCCTAAGGAAATAAGAGCATTCATCAAAAATCTCCCAACCCAAAAAAAAAAAAAAAGTCCAGGGCCAGACAGATGGTTTTAGCTCAGAATTATACCATACTTTCAAAAAAGAGCTAATACTAGTACAACTCAAAATATTTCACAAAATAGAAATAGAAGGAACATTGCCAGACTAATTTTATGAAGCCACAGTCACCATGATACCTAAACCAGGCAAAGACTCAACAGAGAAAAAATTTCAGACCAATCTCCTTCATGAACATTGATGCAAAAATACTCAATATAATATTCACAAACTGAATCCAAGAACACACCAAATGCATTATCCAGCATGATCAAGTAGGCTTCATCTCAGGGTGGTTCAACATAAGGAAAATCCATCAATGTAATCCACCATATAAATGAACTGAAAGAAAAAAAAAATCATGATCATCTCATTAGATGCAGAAAAATCCTTCGACAAAATCCAACACCTCTTCATGATGAAAGCCTTGAAGATATCAAGGATACAAGGCCCATACCTAAAGATAATAAAAGCAATTTACAGCAAGCTGGTAGCAATATCAAATTAAATAGAGAGACTCAAAGCAATTCTACCAAAATCAGGGACAAGACAAAGCTATCCATTTTCTCTGTATCTCTTCAATATAATACTTGGAGTACTAACTAGAGCACTTAGATAACTTCAGAACATAGAAATATTACTGTGTTTCTCTGAAATCCCAGGCCAGAATTTCTAGAGACCTCCCTTGTTTGAGTATCAAAAGCATTTACTACCAAATAAAAGGAATTCCCGCCACATTCATACTTTTCTTCGCTGTATGCAGTGTGTTGCTTAATTTTAATGGACTTTATGTGTCTTTCATAAGTTTAGGTCTAACCCATTGGCCTCTGTATTTATTTCTTTATATGTGGTTTCTCTCAGCCTTAAAGTCCCTTCCTCTTTTCATTCTGCTTTGTCCCTTACTGAGAGGGAGCCTCCAAGTTGCATCTCCTTGTAGGAATTTCTGTCTACTAGAATCTGCCCCTAGAAGAGCCAGGGTGAAATTGGAAACCTGAGTGAATGGTTTGAGGTTCCTATCTTGGTTCCTGTCGTCTCAGCTCTCACATGGGTGATATCAGTAGTTCTCACTCTGCAGGTAATTTTAACACAGGTTTCAGAACTGCCCAACAGTGATGGGAGACTTTAATCCTATACCGAAGACAGAGTTTATCATTATTCTTCACTAATGTGGAAAGATTATTTTAAGCTTGTATATTTTCCCTTAAAATCTATAATAGAAAATGATAGATCCTGACACTCAATTGTTAGTCATCTTTGTCTATAAAATGAGATTATGAAGATATTTGCAAAGTTGTTTTGGATAAAATAAATATCAGCAGATCCTGTTTCCTTTGAAAATAAAATTAAACATCCCTATTTAATGTTTGAAAACACATTTTAAGGGCAAACAGAAGTCTGTCCTCAAAATAGCACCTGCTCCACAATTTAATCTGACCACCCAGCATACAAAGCAGCTAAGCTTCAGGCTTCTCCAAATAACATCATATTCACATCCACCCAGAGGTCCCTTCTGTGCTGGTTCTACCACACTTCTCAGTGCCCAGTGTATAGCCTACTGAATACCCCAGACTACCCCATCCATGTTTCTTTCTGCAAGCTTGTACATCAAGCGCTGGTCCAAACCCAGTGCCAAGCCCAGTCTGGCCACCCATGATTGTAGAGCAGGTGTCCTCTAGGCCTAGTGTCCCACATGATATATCCTATCACTTAGCCTAATCAGACCAAATATGCCTGCACCTCATGGAAGCCTAGTTTTCTCCGAAGACCTACCTTATGTGAAGCCAACCACTGGTTCCTTTGTCAGACACCTTCAACATTCTCCTAGGTACCTGGACTGCCTTCTTCCTCTTCACACATCTAGCCTGGTGAGTATCCTTCACCTCCTCAACCATATCTTTTCTGCAAACAACCAGTTCTTGCAGTTGGTCCCACAGCTGTTGCAAAGACATTCTAGACTTCAGTTTAGATCTTCTCTGCCTATCTTACAAACCACAGGACACCCCTATGTCATATCTAACCTATCTCCACAGCCAGGTCTCCTGCTCTGAGCACACACACACACACACACACACACACACACACACACACACTTCAGGCTTAGAACAAAAGCACACCCTGTAAACTAACCTACTACCCTCTATCCACCTCACTTTATTCTACCCAAGGCATTTCCAACATCTATATACAACCCACTTTCATATAGCTTCTTCCAAACCCACTATGTCCACAACAAACTTAAAACTAACAAAATAAATCTATATACCCAGATCTTATTGGTACAGTATCAACAGAGCTAAAGATGAATCCAGGATCTTCTCTTCAAATCCTACAGGTCTTGAAGAAGTATTTGTCGATGTGAACTACCTAGATGAACTCTGGGACACTGAATGTAAAAGAACATGTATTAATGTGATTTTTAAAAATTCAAGGAGTTTAAAAAATGATAAACATGTCAATGATATTAAGGAGAAAGAACTTAAGGAGGCTAAGCCCCTGAGTGATAACATAAGAAAACACAAACATAATTCTAATGGAAATAAAGAAGATAATCCAGGACTTGAGAATGGAATTCAATAGAAAAAAAAAAATAAGGACAACTCCAGTAGAAATGAAAACAACTTGAAAAACTCAATATCTCAACAAAACTCAAAGAAAAGCCTTACTGGTAGAATAAATCAAGCAAAGGGAGAACATCAAGTTTTGAACATAGAGTAAGAGGATGTAGAAAAATAAGCAAGGAATTTAACATTTTTTTTAAATATAGGAAAGGAACAAACAAGAAATGGGAGATGACAAAAAAAATCTTCAAATCTGAGGGGCCATAAAAAAAACAAAACTACAAAGACAGCAACCAAGCCACAAAATGTTTGACCTACAATTTGTCCTGCCTGAAAGATGTGCTGGGTTAATGGTTGAACAGAACTTGTCAGAGTGGCCAGTGATTGGTCCAACTTGAAGCCTAAGACACTTGAAGGAGCCACACCTAACAATGGATGTATAACCAGCAATTAGAGGTTTGGTATCCCAGAGATCCAGGATAGATCCATACATAATTGGTTAAATAAGTAAATAAATTCACAAATAAATAAATAAATAAATAAAATCCTGATGATTTTCTGCTATAATGTTATACACACCAGAGTCTAGCCAAATAGTCATCAGAAAGGCATCATCTAGCAACTGATGAAAGCAGCTGCAGGAACTCCCAGAAGAGAAAGAGGAAGGATTATGGGAGTCAGGTCAAGGACACCACAAGAACACAGCCCCCAGAGTCAACTAACCAAGGCTCATCAGGGCTTGGTGTTCTTGTGGGACCCCTGATAGTGGTAGTTGGGAGTGTCTCTGACTCTTTCAACTGCTCTTGAGACCCCTTTTCTCATACTGGGTTGCCATGTCCAACCCTGATATAAAGTTACTGTAACTTGTTACCCAGTTTTAAGTTGATATCCCTGGAAGGACTGTTCTTTTCTAAAGGGAAATGGAAGAGGAGTGGATCAGGGGAGAGGGAACGTAGTCAGAGGACTGGGAGGAACAGAGGGAAGAAAGGCTATGGTCAAGATGTAAGGTATGATAAAGGAATACATTGAAAATAATAATAATAATAATAATAATAATAATAATAATAATAATAATAATAAACCAAACCTTAGAATTATAGCAGAGATGAAAGAAGAATCCTAAGTCAATGGCAGAGTCCAGATCTTCAACAAAATCATAAAAGTAACCTTCTCCAAACTAAGAAAAGACACATTCACACAGATAAAAGAAGCACAATGAACACCAAATAGACAAGAGAAGAAAGAAAAATTCTCATAATGTATCTAGTTAAAACATTACATGTACAGAACAACGAAAGTACATTGAAAGTTAAAAAAAAGTCATATATAAAGAAAAAAACTCACCATGACAACAGCAGATTTCTCAATGGAAACTGAGGAGTCTGGAGCAATGGATTCTAAGTCAAAACACCATAGCTGTCAATATAGAATAATATATCCAGCAAAATTATCTTCCATGATTGAAAGAGAAAGAAGGATTTTCCATGATACAAACAGCCTAGAAAGGTTATATCTGACAAAACAAAACTAAAGGAAATGCAGGTAACAATATTTGGGGCAAAAAGAAAGGAATGACCAATCCATAGAGACTGTGAATAGAAATATAAAACCAGAGATCCAAGATGGCAGCAACCAGCCCTCACAATATATGAGAGGCAGAGGATATGAAACTCTGGAATTGGTGAGTGGAGGGACAGATAAATCCAGAAAATTGACAGTGAGTCTTTCTCAACAAGAGGGAACATCACATGAGTTGAGACCTCTAGACTCAGGTCACCCACGGTCTTCTTTCGGGATGGAGAGAAACGATCTTTTGATCCCCTTGCACTTCCCTCTTTTGGTCCTCCCTCCTCCTCCTCCTCCTCCTCCACAGAGTCAGCTCACAGAGATTCTCAGCACAGAACTCACTGCATGGGGACTGAGACAGCAGAGGCTAGGCTCCTAGCTCCTCAGCCTTCAAGTACCTGCAGAGCCCCAAATCCAGGGTCCTTCTAAGTTAGCAGCCAGATAATAGATCCTTCACACCCACACACCCACTGAGGGAAACAGAGGGACACTTGGGACACTGAAGTGCCTGTTCTACAGGTCTACCAGTGGAGTTTAGGCAAAAAAACACCTAGAGCTCAGACAGAGCCAAATACCTGTAGCCTGTAGACCACTGAGGTATTCAGGGAATTTGCATAAGGAAATTATCCCCACAATCATCACCTGCCTGCTACACCTTCAGCTGCAAGCAACCCCATCCATGCCTGCAAGGCAGCACCCCTCCCACAAACTCAAGGGTTCTACATTCTCTAGACCCTGTCACTCAAGGCACACTTCATACACACACACACACACACACACACACACACACACACACAATCACTTACCCGCACTAGTCCTTCTGTGCCTGAGGACTTTCCTACCACAGGTACAGCTGAAACACCAAATTAAACAACGAAACCACTGGACTTCTCTCATCTCCCTAAAGAATTCTCCAGACACCAGAGAAAGACAATACCAGTCTGAACTGCAGAATCCAGGAACAAACAGTGAAGGTTCTGGATAACCAAATGGCCAGAGGTCGATAAAAGAACATATCCAACAAAAATCAGGACATTGTGGCTTCACCAGCAACCCCCAAAATTTATGGATACTCCAATTCATCAGAAGCACAGGAAAATTATTTTAAAGCTATATTTATCCAGTTATTAGAGGCACATAAAGTGGAAAAAAAAAAACAAATCTCTCAGAGAAATAGCCATGCAAATACAGACAGTTAAAGAAGAAAAAAACAAATATCTCAAAGACTTGTCCACCCAAGTGGAGGCAAAGAAAGAAGAAATGAACAAAGCTCTCAAGGAAACACAGGCAAATATAGCCAAACAAATAGAGACACAAGAATAGGCATAATTAGTGGCATATAGAGAAGAAACAAACAAACAAAAAAAAATAAAGGCCATCATACAGAGACAGGAAGCCACTTTCAAACAGATAAAGGAAATGGTGCAAGACCTAAAATAAGAATTAGAATCAAGAAAGAAAACACAAACTGAGAAAATCCTGGAGCTGGAGAACTTAGAGAAAGGACCAGGCACCACAAAGGTAAGCATCATCAATAGTATACAAGAGATGGAAGAGAGAATCTCTGGTGCTGAAGATACACTTGCAGAAATTGATACTTCTTTCAAAGAAAAAGCAAAATCCAAAAATCCTAAACACAAATCATCCAAGAAATCAAGGTTGCCATGAAAAGGCGAACTCTAAGAATAATAGGAATTGATGAAAAAGAGGATTCCAGGTTCCAAGGTCCAGAAAATATTCTCAAGAAAATCACAGAAGAAAAATTTTCTCAACCTAAAAAAAGATATCCATAAAGATACAAGAGGCCTACCGAACACCAAATAGACTAGACAAGAAAAGAAGCTCCTCACTTCACATCATAGTCAAAACACTAAATATACAGAACAAAGGAAAGATATTAAAAGCAACAAGGGAAAAAGGCTAAATAGCATAAAAAGGTAGACTATCAAAATCACACCAGACTTCTCATCAGAAACTATGAAAGCCAAAAGGGCCTGGGCAGGTGTCATGCAGACATTAAGACATCACAGATGCCAACCCAGACTACTATACACTGCAAAGCTTTCAATCAACATAGATGGAGAAAACAAAATATTTCCTGACAAAACAAAATTTAAGTAATATCTACACAGCAAACCAGCCCTACAAAAGATACAAGAAGGAAAACTCAAATCCAACAAAAACTAATATACCTAAGAAAACATAGGATAGAGATAACTTCAAAACAAAAAATTAAAAGAAAACAAGCAATGAGTAAGACCACCAACTCCACAATAAAAGGAATTAATGTTCATTGGTCACTATTATCTTTTAACATCAATGGACTGGAGTCCAATAAAATTACACAGACTAACAGAATGGTTGCAGAAACAGGATCCAACATTCTGCTGCATCCAAGAAACACACCTAGGCAACAAAGATAAACACTATCACAGAGTAAAGGGCTAGAAAAAGGTTTTTCAAGGAAATACACTCAGAAAACAAGCTGGAGTAGCTATCCTAATATCTAATAAAATAGAATAAAATAAACTTTCAACCAAAATTAAAAAAGATGAAGAGGGACACTACATTCTCATCAAAAGAAAAATCCACCAAGAGGACATCACAATTCCAAACATCTATGCTCCAACTACAAGAGTACCTCCATTCTTAAATAAAACATTATTAAAGCTTAAATCACACATCAATCCCAACACCTTAATAGTGGAAGACTTGAACACACCACTATCACCAAGGGATAGATCATCTAGACAGAAGCCAAATAGGGAAATAAAGGCAATTACAAAGGTCCTAATTCAAATGGACCTAATAGATGTCTCCAGAACTTTTAACCAAAACTCAAAAGAGACTATCTTCTTTTCAGCACCTCATAGAACCTTCTCCAAAATACACCATATAGTGGGTCACAAAGCAAGCCTCAACAGATACAAGAAGATTGAAATAATCCCCTGTATCCTATCTGACCACCATGGACTAAAGCTGGACCTCAACAACAATGGAAATAACAAACAGCCTACACGCACATGGAACTTGAACAACTTGTTACTCAGTTGTTCAAGTGAGACAGCTGGGTTAAGGATAAAATAAAGAATGAAATTAAAGACAGCCTAGAATTCATTGAAAATGAAGGTACAATATACCCTAATTTATGGGACACAATGAAAGCAGAGCTCAGAGGAAAATTCATAGCACTAAGTGCCTTCAAAAAGAAATTTGCAACATCTCATACAAGCAACTTAATGGCCCAAGTGAAAGCCCTAGAAAAAAAAAGAAGCAGATACATCCAACAGGAGCAAAAGGCTGGAAATAATCAAACTCAGGGCTGAAATCAATCAATTAGAAACAAATAAAACTATTCAAAGGATCAATGAAACCAAGAGCTGATTCATTGAGAAAATCAACAAGATAGACAGACCCTTAGCCAAACAAACTAAAAGGCAGAGAGAAACTATC